AATCAAAACAACCCCGAATACCAGAAGATTCCTCCATATTGGACCCAGTAAATGCGCTCCTCACACATTCTCTCGTCCGTCACACCTTCCAAATGACAAAATTTATTCAATCTCCGCTGAGAGCAAGAGATGAGTTAGCAGGCACCTTTTATCCAGCCGGTATCCTGCTATTGGTTAGTGGATGCCCCAGAAGGGGACATCGTCGAGAATGCCGTGTCTTCAAACCTCTTCTTCAGATCCCAGAGCTCCGAATTCTGTTGCCTCGGCCATCGAGATATCCGTCGCCGCGGCGATGATCGACTCTTCGGCCCTCTTGATTGCAGCCCGAGCTCGTACCACATACGCGAACCTCCCTTGCTAGATGTGACGAGTCCACGCGAGCTGCTCTTTGGTCACCGGTCCACCATAGTTACGACGCTTTGTGAGGGCCTTGCACTCGGCTTCCGAGTGCATATTTGATCCGTAGTTCCAGCAGGCTGGAGCGCGGGAGCAACTACGGGTGGCGTGGAAGCCCAAACAGCGTTTGCACCGTTTAATTGGTCGACGAGGCTTGTGAAGGGTAGCCTTACCAGACTCGTCGAAGAGGCGGAGTCCCGGTCGATAAGGGCATGCCAGTTTCGATACGGCGCCCCAGGTCGACACGTCCCATGAGTTCGAGCCTGGATTGGAATCGCGCCGGTCGTACCGAGAATCTTGGCAGAGACACACCTAGCATCGACCGCCCTGGGGCCGCACACTGTAACTATGCTTACAGGCACGTTCGGTATCTGTAAGGCGACAAAATCTGAAGATGCCTCTAGTTTGACGTTTTGACTCGCCAGCTTCGAAGAGCCATCTAGCATCTCTTGTCGTATTTCGTCGTTCTTTACTATCAAAGCAAAGCCGGTCTGTTGGAAAATATACTCTGTACGATATTATATGGATAAATATGATGAAGTAAAGAAGACTTAATATTTTACAACTATGGGCACATTGGACTTATATATACATCTAAGGGAGAAATTCCCGCTAGCCTCGTGTGCCTGTCAAACCTAGTGATGACTAACCACCTCTCATCTACCATGATGAGCCAAGGTACACTGTAGTACGTAAATATCCAAACGCATAGGCGACAGTAGGCGCGATTAGCGTACTCAGGACATTTGTAGAGAGAGTCGATCTTGTCGGGAACCTGAGACGAAACAGGTAATGATTGAGCCCTAAATTCGAGAGTCAGAATTTCCAACACGGTCCTCACTCGATGAAGCAAGGGTATTTTATGGGGAAAGTAATGGAATATGGACTCCAATTTACTTCTCACGGAACTTTTGGACAGATTTCTCCACGGGTAGCCTTTTCAAGGCGAAGGAACAGTCGCTTGTAGACTTTCGCCTTGGAAGTTTCTTTTTGTCGGGCTTTTGCTGCAGGTTGCGGCATAGCCTTTACAGTTGGGACTGCTTTTTGTTGCAGTCCGTTTCTGGCCACCGTGGCCCAGGTGCTTTTGACAGGCGGCACTGAGACGGCGGGAATCGCTGTGCTCCTGGCGTCGGGAGCCCTTGGGATGGGGTTCGCCGGGCGAGGAGGGAGGACGGGTGGCGTGGAGGCCGGGCCTGTGGCCATGTATTGCGCAATGGCGGCGCGTAGGTAGACTCTCATCGGGTCTACAAATGGTCTGTTTGACCCGTTGGTCAAAGGAAGAAGGGTGGCTTCAACGCCAGAGATGGCGGCGGAGCAGAGGGCCAGATTTTCCGCTGTTTCGGCGGCGCGTCGTTGTTCAGCTTCGACAATTGGTCAGATTGAGGGGACACTCTGCTTTCGTAGTTGCTTGTGCCTGCGACGTTGGTTTTGGCGCGGTCGGGGGAGATATTGACGATTCTCCAACCCCATGGGGGACGGAGGGTGGCTGAGGATTTTCCTCAACAATTTCGACTGACCAGATCATGTCAGTATCAGGCTTAGTGACGGTGGGGAGGGCTTTTTCCTTCCCTTTAGTAGAGACCTTGCTCATCTCCGTGCATTTCGGAGACTGGGCAAGGCCAGGTAATTGTTGGAGAGCCCTCGGGTGGACTCTCGTGTTGTCCAACTTGACGTTGGGACGCTTTTTGTGAACTGGAGGCATGGTGAAAATGCCTGAGCTCGATCACAATTCAGAGATGGATGCGACGAGGTCGAGAAGGGAGGAAAGAGGGTAAAAAACCAATTTCGAAATTTCGAAATTCTCGAATTGTGGGGCTCCGTCATTATCGCTGTAATTGTTCACGAGTAATCTGTTAGATAGAGGCATTTGATTTTTTTGATTTTTTTTTGCATCAGATTTTAATTGCGTATGCAGCTATCTAGCTATGACACAATATCAAAGAAAAGTACAGAATAGATGATTCAACGTAAAGGAAGAGCACTCATGCCTCGGATCTCATTTGCAAGTACCACTGCGAAGTTATGGCAGCTTTTTCTTCACCCCAAGTCAACCCTCATCCGTGAATACCCACCCAGGGGAACATCTCAAAAACCCTGAGTTATCCAGACAGAGGCATTTGATTACCCCGCAATAAGTGGAGGATCACACTAGTTGCCTGTGTTTGCTTTTTCCAGGTTTGAATCATCACAACTTCATAAGCCTAAACCTGTGATTGGTTTTCGTTCCTCTTTGTAGAAGCAGACTGGATCAGGTCATCCAAAAAAGAAAATAGCATGGCGAATCCAGGAATTTCCTTCATTCCCATCCCCACCTTCTGTTGGCGGAATTTTTATAGCACTGCTTCGTTTATCAACAAGCCCAAACAGACTTACAACGCTGTAGAGTCAACACACAAAGAGTTCACACAAACAAAAACCGAAGTAGTGAATCACCTTCTACATTCTCAAGATCTTTACGTGACAGATAGTTTCAAAGATGTGATCTGCCATATTTCATTTTCATTTATTCCCAGATACTCGGACTGGGGTTTATTTAGGCTATTTGAATATGATATGATAAGAACAACTTTTCGTACACATCACTATCTTCTACATGTATAATCCAAATCGGGAAGGACCATAAATTACTATCATTCTCGCGACCTGAAAAAACATCTGTTTGCTGTCAAGAATCATAGTGAATTATTTGAAAACGAACGAGTAAACAGCTTCGGTAATCGCCATTTCCTTTTTAATAACATTATCCGAGTTCCTTCAAGGGAACAGTTTTCCCTTAAATAACTTACTTTCCTGCCACGCTGAATGAAACATCCATCACATCATCCGGTATATGACAGTTAAAACACTATAATTCCACAATTACCCCAAAACTCCAATCCAACTAAGATTAATGACTAAACACTATCGCAAAACCAGGGCCAGGCCATGAAAGGCCCTATCATTAGGACTCATTTATCATTCACATCAGGAGAATTTGGTGGAGCAAAACACCTACATAAATTTCACGGCCCTTTATGCAAAGTAGCTCTATACTTGTCAGTAGAAATCTAAAGCAGACATGTAACTGATCTATTTTCATCATGCTTTAATCTAAAAACTACTGGAAAATAAAATATACTAACGCTTCCCAGGAATTTTTCAAGTGGCTTTCTCCACACTTTTTGTGTTGTGAATATTTCGTCTATCGAGCACTAGAAAAACTGTTAATGATACATCCAATGTTATGTATTTCATGGCAAGCATTAGATGCTTTGGTAATCATTGCAAAAGCGACTTCAAAAATATCACAGTAAAAATTTCAACCCCTTATAAATTAAAATATCAATGTTTTGGAAATCGAACCCATTTCTCTTCAACCTCAAGACTGCCACATTTCTTTACCGATTCCGAAATGACAATTCCATAGAGCTTTCAAAATTGAAAGACCTACAGCAGCCCCGAATTGGGGATTCTTTGCTAATATATAACTAAATTACACTGAAATATCTGGGCCTTAAAGTCTTGTATGTCAACTCATTTTAACGAATCTACGTGTGATCCGTTCTATTCAGCGGCTTTAACCATCATTTACTAAACCTTCCTGAACACTACAACTTTTTTTTGGAAATCTGAATGTTACCTCTTACAGTTTCCTCTCACGAACTATTAGATCACTATATCTATACCAAATCTGCTCTGGTGGGCTCAAGATCTATTATCTATCTCTTGGGACGTCTTTAGAGTTCATATCCGAAACATAGATTTTACAGATCTTTTCAGATAATTACCTAAGCCAACTGCTCTCCTAAAAGCGGAGATATCCTACAAACTTAGGAATGATAACATTCATCAAGAGATTACGCTTCGATTGACGAATAAATTTTCGTTTTAGATGTTAGTCGTCCTAACCATAATTTTTCCAACCATCAAAATTTTTGGCAAATAATGCATCAGCCAGAAAGGCACGTTGGGCATAGTTAATCTAGTTATTTCTTTTCCTCACACTTCATCACATTTCACCCTAAACATAACCTTTTTTCTTCGAAATCTGGTTTATTACTATCACCTACCACAACATCATAGATTCAGCACCTTTTTTTACAAATGAGTATGCTCCAGGGGGGACATGTACATACCCTATCCAGATCCAAAGCGGTGACTCTCAAGGAGCAATTATTGTCTCGCAATCTTCGACCCAACCATCGAAAAGGCGGCGGCTTTCCCGCGCCTGTGATGAATGTCGGAAGAAGAAAATAAAATGCAACGGTAAAAAGCCCTGTGCAAATTGCGCTAACAATAATTTGGGTATGCAACTACAGACACCATATAAATATACCCTACTAAATTGAAGTAATAGATTGCACGGATTGGAAGCCCTCGACTAGACAGAAGAGGCCGAGTCGGAAAGAAAGTCAGGATCTTCAGCATCAGTACCGAGAAGTTTTGGATAAGTTTTCAGTTTTGGCCCCTAGAATGGATCTTTCTAGGTTCACTGACAGTCTATCAATCCCGGAATACGGGATTGATATTCATTTCGCGGATTATTTGTGGACCTGCCCATCTTACAAAAGTGATGGTCAGGTGTCACCGAATACTAATTATTCGATGATACCTGAGCATCAAGGATGGACAGGTCTGCAGATGAAAGCAACGGCACTGCAAATCACAGCGAGGTTGTGAAGTGGGAATTCCGTGGGGATTCATCTGGCGCAGACTTACTCCAGCATATCCGGGACCACGTGGTTGATGTTCTGAGCGATTATAACACATCAATCAGTACAGATTCCACTCCTGATATGTCCTCATCGAACTTTTCGCCGATTTTATTCGATCAATCTCCAAATAAGTCATGTAGCTTAGGAGACCTACCTTTATTTGAGACGGCAAAGGCAGTTTGTGAGGCCGCTTTTAGCGAGATGAAGGCCTATTATTGTTTTATTCACTTTCCTACTTTCTACCAGATGCTAAGCGAAGTATACACACTTCCTAGCGATAACTTAATGGACGGAAAAAGTCAATATCTTAATCTTCTCTTTTCTGTCCTCGCCCTAGGTTATAATTCTGAAAGAAAAGGTTACAATAAACGTAATAGGTCAGGGGGTTTAATAAGTGAAACAAGAGCCGATAATGGGTAATATTAGCCCCATCATTTCTTTCATCCAATATTTAAGATGAACCATGAAACTAACTTTTGCCAAGCCAAAAATATTTTAAATGCGCAAAAAGCGCCATAGATGTTGCCGACTGTGAAACTATCCCACAGTTGCAAACAGTTATATTCATAATTCTCTACCTCCAAGCAACTGCCGACTTGAACGCCTGCTATTCTTATCTTAGATTGGCACGCAAATCGGCTGTTCGAATGGGATTAAATCATAAGCATGCTTGTGAGCGTAATCCCATAGAGTGCGAAGTTAAACGGAGGATCTTTTGGACTATTTAAAAGATGGACACCTCATTATCAGCTATACTTGGATATGCCAAGATTCATGATCTTGATAGCATTGACCAGGAAATGCTGATTGAGGTAGAAGACGTGAATTTCACTGAGACCGGAGTGAAAGATTTTCCAGGAACGAAACCGTCCGCATCATTGCAAGCAGCCAACGCTCATATGCGATTGATCTTGACACTTGATAAAGTAATCAACTTCATTTATCCCAACAATAGAGTTGGGACTTCCGCTAATGAAGCTATGGCTGCTGTGCATGTTGTTGATCACGGCAAAGTGCGGGAAATCGAAAATGATCTTTGGCTATGGTGTCAAGAGTTACCTGTTAGTACTCATTCCAGCAGAAGTGAAGAAGTGCATAATTACCGGTAAGCATGTTACGTGGAGAAAGATCACTGGCATAAATGACTCTAACAAATTTGAACAGCACTCGACAATTTCTGAGCCTAGCCTATGCTCACATGCAGATGATGCTGTACAGACCGTTTTTGCATTTTGTCTCCGGAAACGCTTTTGTGGACGAAAGTAAAAATAAAACGTCACAGGCTTGCGCTTCGGCCTACTTCAAAGTCTGTCAAAATGTGGTTCAAAATGTGAAAGACATACAAAAACGTGGGATAGTCATCGGACTGAGTTGGTTTATGGTATGTTCCCCATAATTTCAGTATGTTGTAAAGGTAAGAGCTTACGGAGGTTAATTGGCAGAAGGTTTTCGGGTGATCGTCGATGAATCAATCTGAACTGCTGATATATTTGATATTCAGAACTATGAGGATTAAGGAGGTTTAAAGCGCTAATTATATACACATCTGAGGTGGCTTGACTCTCGCCTCATTTACCCAAAATAGTATCACGGAATATTCTAGTCTCCTCCATCTGGCAGTACAATCTAGAAATACTTTCTATACAGTGCTCCATTGTTCCTCTACTCATCATGGAGCCACCTGGAAAGTTCTTCCTTCACCCTCAGTGACCATTACCCTTGTGCATCGCAATCCTAGCCATCACCAGCACAACACAGTATCATTTTTACGAAGCTCTGCTCTCGAATTCATCGAGTTATTTGATCTGGCTCACTCTTATAGATGAGAAAAGTATTGCTAACTCTGGGGATATAGATAAATATAACCTCATTTGCCACTCTCTCCTTGGTTTATTTAAACTGTCAGCGGACTAAATCGTCTGAACCACTTAAAATTGATATCGGCGCTCGAGTAGGACATGAAGTATCCAAGCTCATTGTCTAAATACTCGGGTTGTATTTATATCACAAGCTTTCTATAGCAGTAATAACAATTGGTGGTTAACATATATCTTCTCTCTCTTCCATCCTAACTAAATGAAACACATACATACATCATTTGTCCCTCTCTCCTGACGCCATTCCTAAACAGGTAACCCATAACTAATCATTATAATAAGCCATCATTTATAATATAATACATGAAAGGTCATTAAGTCATCAGGTCATTCAACACTCATATCGCAAAGAAAGCGGGATGGATGCAGTTATCTGTCAGCCATAAAGGTTTGTATCTTACTAGTATACGATATCTGGTGCTAACATTCTTAAGGCTTAGTCTAAACAATTATCGCCAAAGACAAGCTCTACCAATAGTGCTGCAGTGCCACCAACTCATTGTAAGGACATATTCTCTGTGTCGGCAATTCTACTGGATGAAAAAGAGAAAGGTGAAACCTGTTCTGACTTACGCCCATGCCATTCGAAAGGGGCCCCTAATAGTGAGCCTACAAATCAATTGTCACAATTTGACGATGAAAGTGGCACCGAAAATTCAAATCTTGGTTGCAGTTTAACGCAAGATTCAGAGTCTATGCCGTGTGATACGTCAGATGACGATATTTTCGAGTTCATAAATTTTGATGGTGACGAGGGGCTTCCGGCGGAAAATGAAAAGATAGTGGGATCTTCTTCTCAGGATATTGGATTAGTCCAGAATGTCTCTAATGAAGACACAAATTTTCCGGTCCAAAACATGACAATAGATTACTTCCTTGAGACATGGAAGTACGACAATGGGGTTCCAGATGTAGAGGAAATAATTGAGATGGGTTTTTGTTGGAAAATATGCTATGTACGATATTATATGGATATACATGATGAAATAAAGAACACTAAATATTTTACAACCAGAGACGAATGGAATTATATATACATCCAAGGGAGAAATTTTCACCAGTCTCATATGCCCGTCAAATCTAGTAATGATCAGCCACCTCACACCTACCATGATGAGCCAAGATATACTTGACCCTCTACAACTGCCAGTCGCTGTGAAGGTACGGTTGAAATATCAGCCTTCAATGCGTCCTCACCTTGGCCAAATGAACCAACAACTCATCCTGCGACGAATCGCCACTGACAAAATACGTACGACGTTTTGCCGGCTTACCATCTAGAGCGTTCAACAAAGGCTGGGGCACTGGTACCTCGGTCTTGAGCTCTCACTTGCGTTTTCGATCTCCACGGTTAGGGGTACGGCAGCGACGGGGCAAGGCCGGAGGGGTGGACATTCTACAAAGTTCCTTGGATGATGATATCGGCAGAAGGATAGAGGGATGCTACATGAAGGAACCAAAAGGGAACACAAAATGAGGAGGCCTTGATGGGCGACTGGACGAGGCCTTCAGTGAAGAAAACGACCCCTGGATGAGATGAGGAGATGCTGAGATGAGCCAAAGCTGCGAATGAATCGAAGGTAAAGCTACAGATGGTGAAGGTGTCAATCGCTCGGGCGCGTGGTGGCCGAGGCTGAGGAGGAAATTGCGCTTCGGCGCGCCAAAAGGGGGTTCTCTGGACGGTTAGGCTTGACATGATTCTACACATGGGTGAAGTCTGAGGTGGTCCGGTCATTTAGGTGGGACGAGGTAGATGTACTCAATGGCAGTTAACCTGATCCAGCCGGGCCCAATCCGTGCTTAAGCTTCAGGAGGAGTGCAATGGTAGTCACTTTACCTAGCACGTTAATGAACAAATCAAACCAAGGAACACTGTATCACGCACATACTCAAAAGCATATACAACAGTAGGCGTGATTAGTGTACTCGGGACACGTGTAGATAGAGTCGACCTTGTGGGAAACCTCAGATGAAGCAGGTACTGAGTGAGTCCTAAATTTGAGTCAGATTTTCCAACAGTTTGTATTTACCAGAAAGCAGAAAGGTACCGAGTTTTGGTTTTTAGATTAAATAAGTTAAGAGAACACAAATTTCACTAGAATCTAGGACTAAATTTGAAGTCCAAGCAGGGTAGGTATTTGGATGGGGCTTTGAGATAAGCAAGGATATTATGGTTGTGAACTAGAGGATGGTATTGCCAATGCATGTGAGAGCGAATATTAATCCGTAGATTAGGTCTGGAAGAGAGAATGGAGCTGTTTAGAGTTTGTTGCGTTATGTTATCTATGTCTGACCAAGGTCAAAATTTGCCTAGTTAAATAATCCTACCGGGCTAGATAGTCATAGACTCAAGTAGCACAATGAATACCCACAATTAACCCTACCGGATATCCCCTGTGTGGGTATTCACGGATGAGTGTTGAGTTGGGGTGAAGAAAAATCCACCATAATTTCGCAGTGGTACTTGCAAATGAAATCTGAGACATAAGTGCTCTTCCCTTACGTTGAATCATCTATTCTGTACTTTTCTTTGATATTGTGTTACAGCTAGATAGCTGCATACGCAAATAAAATCTAGTGAGAAAAAAATCCTACCTGATATATCCCTGCTTAGTCATCATACATTTATTTCAATTCTACCTCTCTGCCAACTATGGCAACTTGTATCATATTTTTTACGTCGTGCATATCTTAACGTAGGGGAATGAAACTCAACATCTGTCAGCGATGTACCCTACAAACACCCAATTCTCATCATAAATGCTGCTTAGCTTAGGTCGTGTAATACGTTTGACCTCACTTTGATGAGGATTTCTAATCGCTTTCGCGGTCTGTACCGTCTTCATTCCTCAGCAGAAACACCTATCACCATAATCATTAAGCTAACCACGATCAGATCAGATGTTAGGGTCGGAGGCCCTCCTCATCACTCACCCAAGATCATGGAGGAAAAGCTATCTAATGAGTGTGAGGAGCGTGCCTAGCACCCGATACGCAAATGGTAGATTAGGTCAAGATGGGCTCTTAGTTTTTTGTATCAGACTTTAATTGCGTTTGCAGCTATCTAGCCGTGAAATAATATGGGAAAAAAGGTACAGCAAAGATGACTCAATATACGAGAAGAGCTCTTATCCCTCGGGTTTGTTATACAAGTACCGCAGCGGAGATCCGAAATCTTTTTCTTCACACCAAGTCAACACTCATCAGTGAGTAACCGACCAGGGAAATGTCTCAAAAACCTGAGTTATGTCGATATGCCTCCATCATCCATTTACTTTTGTCCGCGTGAAATGTGATCTTAGGTGTCTACTCCACAGGTAGAGTATGTACCCAGGTTACTCAAACTATACCAAAGATTACCCGTGTCACAGTTTCAGTACACTATGCATGGGAAACTTGATAGGTAGAGTTTATTGATTGTTATTGTCTGAAGAAATAATTCCTGTAGCTAAATACTATCTATATGTACAATCTGAAATATCTCCCTCCATGTTTTGGCTAGGCATCATTGAAGAGGTTTCAAGGAGAAGGTTCCCAGGAAAAGGTGATAAAAGGTTTTGAGAGAGTTTTCGGGAAAAGGTTTATTGGGAAGGTTTCCGAGAAAACTCTGACAGTTAGAGATAGAGGGGCTGGCGTCATGACTACATCTACTATAGCTTTAGTTGAGTTCTAGTGCGGTCTCGAGTTAGACTTGAGGAAGCTGGAGCTACCCCATAGTAGCTCTTCAGCTTCTCCATTTTTCATTCTTTGATCTCGCAATCTAGCATTTACAAAATATTATAATCTTGCATTCTCACAGTCCAGTATTCTTTGTACTTCTGTTGACCTTGATTTATCAGACTTGATCGCTTGCTCAGAAACTCGACTTCTTGACTTCGTATCTCTCGACTATCCTATAGCTCTCCGAACCTTGACCACCCGGCGCCTCGCCAGCTGAGTTATATCTGAGTATCCTTCGTTAGCAGCTGTAATCCTAAAAGTTATTAACATATTTACTTCGGCAGAAGGCGATCTCTAGTATCCTTAGCGCGCGCCGTAACACATCGAGAAGGTTCTCTCTGTGCTTTGATGGACTCGGACTCTTCAACAACTACCCAAAAGATTCATGATACTCCTGTCACCCTCATGAACCTTCGTTATATATCCAAAAGGTTTACTGAGAATCTTCTAAGTTCCCTACTATCCAAGTTCTACCCAGGAGGTTCCCTTGCTGTAATTGCCAACGCTGTCTAGCGTAGGCTACAGGAATCATTAGGCTCGACAGCCGTCACAACCATGAGGCGGATCACGACAAATTTCATCGTTGGCTTGTGTTTATAGTGTCAGCTGCACTCTCGCAAGCGAAGTCTTGGCGCGCACAAAGCTCAATTCGTAAAACTCCATGCCAAAATTTGAAATTTCACGCCCGTCGAGAATGTATTCATCCTCTATATCATCTTGTCCAGATCCCTCTCACATCCATCCCAAAGAACTGTCTCCCAGATTTGTGCGCCACGCTTTCCTTCCTCCGTCGGGTATAAATATCGGCGTGGGCGTGTATCTGGTGACCGGCTGAGGCCAGAGAAAGTTAAAGAGTGGTGTGGTCGTTGAAACGAGGATGTATTAGGTCGTACTTGTAGACTTGATGAAGCTTAGTTGAGAATCTAACTCTTTGGGAGTGAACGATTGACATGGTGGAGTATTTTGAAATTTTGCCTCGTGGGCCAATATGTTCGGTACTGCGAAGTTTGACTGAACTTGGCTCTGGGAGAACATTTCACTCCCAGGTTCGTAGAGGACACCGCGTACAGGTGTTCAGTCTTACCCTCCGATGTGGCAAGATATCTCGCCAGAGAAAGGGGAATAAATTAAATGTCCTGATGGAATAATGTTTCGTTAATAAGAAAGGGTACCTCCAAATGTGGAAAGTTGGGTTGGTGGACCCGAGGATTTGAACTAAATTTGCATGTGTCGTGTTTGCGTGGCTGTGATGATTAACGCTGTGACAACTGTACGGGAAGCAGATATGTTATGGCGGCTTGCGCTGCATGGAACAAAACGGAAGGGTCTTACCGCGATTCGAACGCGGGGCCTCTCGCAAGAAGCTTGTGGTGTGACCCTAAGCGAGAATCATACCTCTAGACCATAAGACCTTGTCTGATAACGGGAAATATTAGAATTTTATTCTTAATTTTTAATTAATGATTTTGATTTGATTTGATTTCTTTAGCCCATGCAGGTATAACTAGCTATAATATTTACACAGGAGGAAACCATATTCGGTAAAAATCCCCTACAACTGTCTGTCTCGTGTCTATTTTGTTTCTAAGGTTTCCTACAGGAAGTGCGATTACACTGTTTATACAGTGTGAAATGCGTCTTATCCTTGTCCACATCGTCTCATCCTTCCTTCCAATGCTATTTCTACTTCTCCTGCAAGCCGGAATTGTTCAAACCAGCCTTTTGTCAGGATCCATTTTGTTATTCTCTCTATGTCATCCGGGCTGTTCATCATTGCCGCAAATGACCTGTCTTTTGCCTTTTGAAGCACCTCTCCTCTTCCCATGGCCCACTGAGGACACGCCAAGACCATATGTTTGACATTTTGAGACGGATATCCACACTGACATTTTGGATTAATCACTCCGGGAACTTTCCTTCGACACAGATAAGAATTAAGACCAATGTGCTCACTTCTTATCTGAACTGCAATACTGCTTTGGGCCCTACTTAGGGATTAATGATTTTAAGACAGTCAAGTGTGCTCAAACTTTTCCCTTAGCCTTGCCCATATCGTAATCCCCCCATTTGGGAAGTGAATTATCCCTAGCGCAAAGACATTGGAAATCAACGATGACACCAAACAAAAACTGCTACTTGGGCTTGCAGCTCAAGTCTTGGAGTCTACGGGGTCAAGAATTAGGCGCACATGAGCCAAGTGAGTTACATTTGTCAGGAAATCCACGACAAACAGAAAACCCTAGATAGTTAGGTTAGATGGTGCAGTGGTACACCATTCGGGCCGTTCTCCCGAGTAGAATCTGAGGCGCTTGAACACCTACCCTATTTGATAGGGGTGCAAGCTGGCTCGAATCCAGCACTACCCACCCACTACTCTCTCTCGCGGTGTTCTTGTACTTGTGGGATGATGAAAGCACACTCGAACAGCCACAGGTTTTTCATCTTTTCCCTGTGGTGGGTATGCACGGAAGAGGTTATACGCCGGAAAGGTTAACTTCGAGTGGTATCTGCAAATGAAATCTGAGTGTGAGTGTTCTAAATGTCAAATTGAGTCATACTACTTGAAGTACGTATCTTCCGATAAAGACCTGCATGGGCCTCAAGGCGCCAAATCAGGACAATTGAATAATTTATTTATTTTAATACCCTAGATAGCACAGTAGTCAGGCCTAGCTACATGACGTTATCCAATAACCCAGGGGTTTTGAGACGTTCCCCTGGGTGGGTAATCACGGATGAGGGTTGAATTGGGGTGAAGAAAAAGCCACCATAACTTCGCAGTGGTACTTGCAAATGAAATCCGAGGCATGAGTGCTCTTCCTTAACGATGAATCATCTATTCTGTACTTTTCTTTGATATTGTGTTATAGCTAGATAGCTGCATACGCAATTCATATCTGATACAAAAAATAAAAAGACGTCATCCAATCTGCCAAGGCCCTTCTCATAGTATGCCACTCACCGGGGAGCGCTAAGGCGCGGACCGGGAAAGGAGTGGAGAGAAGGCTGGAGAGTCAGGAAATGCCGCCCTTGGCTGCAAACTCATCTATGGCGCCCAGAAGATGGGTATATTTGATTGCTTACATACGTAGCTCTGTCTACTATTCAAGCCTTGGCTTTCCATTCAGGCCGACTCCACAACTCATGGCTTCACAAACTTTTCCCTTGCCGGACGGCCACATACGGCCTTGATTTTATTGGTTGGAGAGAGGAAATAATGAAGGGCAGCTGCTCCTCGAGGGTTAAGATCGAGTGAATACTTTTGTGTAATGTACGTTTGGAAGGGATCTAAAAAGGGTGTAGAAGAAAGTTTTTTGCTCGAGGCATAGATATTCCCTGCCTCTAGGCAGAAAGTAATTACATACCCTACACAGTCATAGACTGAGGAGCAATAATAACTACAAGAAAAATTATGGGACCCTAGAGCCACGCTTGGAAATCCAGGGCTGCAGGCCTGTTCTTAGTGATTACCATAAGACTAGGCGTGACTATGTCAATCAAGCAAAGATACTTCACAGGTATTTAGTAGTGTCATCAACCTCGACAAAGTCGTTTAACCCATACATGAGGAGTTAGTCTTGTATCATTTCTAAAAAAAATAAATACATAGAAAGTAGAATATAAAGAGTTAAGGGATAATCGAAGAAGACATGCCCGTCCAAGTTACATTAACGCCTATCTTCGATGGAAATAATGCTGCCCTGAATACTTAATCTTAGGTTCTCTATATCATATATACAAAAAGTTGGGCGGAGGATCATTAGGAATCGTAAATGCTCAATATGTTCGTGCTATTAGCGTAATCTACTCGGCACATAGTATCAAAATCACCGACGACTTTGGCCCGTTCATTTAGCCATTTGCGAATGGATTCCTCTTTACAGCTGTCTGCCGGTCCATCGTGACATCCAATCAGACTCTGTGGTCTATCATTTACTAAGACGCGATAGTAGATCCCTTCGTCAAAGCCGAAACTATCACATTCTAGTTTTTCAATACCAATGTCAGTCATAAACGGAATAATCTGACTTGATTTCCAGACTCGTTGGTAGTTAATAGTATCGAGAGGCATGGTATCGTTTATATTATTTGCTCCCGAGTATGCTGAGTTATTAAAGAGACCCATGGCAACTAGTGCCATTGGAGGCATACCACGATGTGTAAAAGATACGAACAGATCTTGATCTTTAACCTCGTTACTGTTCGTATCATGATTTGACATGAGCGCATTAAAGCTTGCATTTACCCATGGAAATCCAGTAGCACCAGCTGAGGGTAAGCCATACCCACTGTTATAAAAATATTTGATATCATTCGCATACTCAAAGCCGAGCCATTCATTTGAGCTCAATACCGACAATCCACAAAATGGAGAGGAACCTCGCAAGACTGTTTCGTAGCCGCAAATCAGCGAAAAGGCATAAATGTCCGTAGAAGTGAAATTAAAAGAAGGTGCCAGAGAGTTGAAGCGTTGCATAACCGGTTTTGTGTAGATCTCGCGAAACACCTATACATATGTTAGCTAGGGCACCTATGACCCAAGATAATCAGAAAAGGACTAAACTAAACATACTGAAGCTTCATCGCTGCCAGTTACTCGACTGAAGGCTGGACAGCTATCATATGGATTCAGTGAGTTTGCACCATCTTTCTTGCCCTCATACACTCGCTCAATAGCTATCTTTGATGCGTCTAGAGCAATTCCTTTTGCGAAGAATTGAGCGCTTTTCATCGTTCGATCCGAAGATGCTGCCCATATTTTCTGGGGTGTCCTCAAATTAAAGTATCTATGTCCAACTTCAACACCAAATGTCATGGCTTGTAGCTGACCGGATCGACTTAATTTTTCCTTCTCTCCCTTTAGAATTGGGTTTCTCCAGGTAGCTAGAAAGGATAAGCTAGGGATTTCGGCCCATCTGACGGTCGTGCGGCTAAGTTTTTCGAGGAATGGTTCGATAAAGGCTACGTAGTCATAACTATTCGAATGAATCGCAGCATGGCGTACCAGGTATGCTGCACGAGTGACATTGCAGCCTAGAGGTGGAACAGGGTCTAGAGGAGAGCTGGCTTCTTCGTGGTCAAATGGTGGACTAACTCCAGATAGATGCTTCAGCGGATCAAACTGATTTATGATAGAGGCATGAGCAATATATGAACCGGAGAGGAGAGCTGCGAGAGACAGAGGGCTGCTGATAAACATCGTTTGAGATTGACGAGAAGATGAGTTCCGGATGATCAATAATGACGACCAAGCCGGTGACTATAAACACTTTTTTCAGACTCATTTAATATAAGAGGCTATTTCAGGACCATAATTAAGTGAAAGTGAGCCTAGCGGTAATTTGGGAGGATAACGAGTTCCCCGGTACAATTTAGACCCTTGTCCATATATTTGCAATGGAATTACTGGATACGCTCATCATACTGGCTTAGTATCACCATAAGGCAGCGAGTTGATAATATCGTTCTTGTCAGTATCCCACGCAATGATACGAAAGAAAAGTGAGATTTGACATAATTAAGAGGCAGGGTGCTGGATAACGTGCCTCCTTGTAGATGCTGGTCAGATAAGAGCCTCATAATAGGAACTGCTTGATCCATAGAGGAAACTTAGAGGCTGATGGGATGATTTTGTCGCTGCATTTAAATTTCGCCTCAGCCACGCGCCTAGAGCTGGGCAGGGATTACGCGAAGATGAGCGTAGAAGGTGTTGACCCCGTTGTATTTGCGCATTTTGAAGCTTGTCGATACACTACCCAGTTGATTCTAGAAGAATCAATAGAGAAGATGGGCTTTCGTATTCATCTCATGAGTCGCGTATCCAAAATTTATTCCGCTTATCCATGCTAGCCCGGTAATTTGTTGACACATAAAGCCACTAAAGTCTATAAAGTCCATGGCGAAGTGATGGCTGGGGTATACTGGATTGTAAATGACTCTTTCAGTAACTTTAGATTATACTAACCTCTGTATTTTGCTGTGGTGGGTTGTTATAGTCCTTTAAACGCACGGAAAGATTGTTGCAAACAGACCCTATGTCTATTCCTAGTTAAAACCTTTGAGGATATGAAATAAAATAGCTATCACGAACTGTATTTGTGGAGGCTATTCAGGGCTATAAAATTTCAAATGGCTACGGTGGAGCAGTAGACAAACTTCTCAGTTCAATGGACTACTCCTATCATGTGACAATTCTTGGCACTTTACGGGATGATATTCCAAGGGCTAATACGCATACGTTAAAAGCACTCGAGGAAAGAAATCAAATTCATCGATCCTCAATTGCTTCGGAGAGCTGTATTAAATTACAATGTTCATAAAATGCATGTCCGGCTGCGACTCGACGGTAGGCTCAACCTAGCATGACCATATCTCGCTTAGGAATTGGTAGGTTATCGAATCATTTTACAGATGATTAAAATGCACGTATTTCCGGGGATGGCTCCCTGCTTCAACCGGGAACGTGATTCAAAAGTTGGCAGAGCCTTAAATTAACAAATTTGAGAGTAAATTGACCAGTCTCTGACGGAATTGTTTGATGATTTTTTGTATTCCAACGTACTCATAGACCACACTCATCTAACTTGTGGTGGGGCCAATGCACAAGTATAGCCGGGTTAGATCGGGTTTTGTGTGTTTGTATGTGTATTTGTTCATTGTCCTATGAAGTCTATGGCTATGTAAGGACATGTAGGTACTTTCTGCCCACAGGCTGGGAGTATCTATGCCTCGGGTAGTGTACTCCCTCCTACGCCTGCTTCACGACTTTTTTCCAGCAGTAATACACCCACAGGTATTCATTCGAGTTCACACTCAGAGGAGTCGTTTTCTCTTCATTATTCCCCCTCTCCAGCCAACGAAACGATAGCCATTTGCGGGTGTTTAGCTGCAGGGAAAAGTCTCAAAAACCACTGGGTGCGGGGCTCTCCTACGACGAAGAGGCCGGCCAGCCAGGCATAGCAGACCTGTGTATACCTAAGAGTTTCTCTCAACCTTCCTAGCCTCCTCCTCTCCTGATTCATGCCGCAGGACAGACCGAAGGTCGTGAAAGGATGTCAGAAAAGTCTTGGTCGAGAGTGACTGTTGTGAAGGAGCCTGGCCTAGCATCCAAAAGTCGTTACGGACGTGGGGTTGTCGAGTAACTCATTTATTTCAGATGCCCTCCTGGCTAGTAGATTCGGAAGTTAAGATTAGTAGGGAAGATGATGTAGACGAGTCGAAATCTGCTTTTCTTGAGGGCGGAAGGGTCTTTTACTTTGCTTTCTTGGGCGTTTTGTTTTCCCGCCGGTGGGTAGTACATGTTGTGATATAACGAGGGCTTCTCTGACTACCGTTGTAGCTTTTGGTAGCGCATTATCTTTCCCCATTCCCAGCATCATTATCATCGTCTTATGTGTTATCGGAAGCGTATCTTTGACGGAGGGGGAGATAACTCAGCTCAAGGTTGATAAGGTATTACTAAATCTCGGATCTGCAGACTCTACAGTGAGAGCTGGAGGTTCGTAGGGGACACCACTGACAGGTGTTGAGAATAGTCCCCCGGTTAGATCGGGTTGACTACCGTAAAAGACAAATTGCGCCTCGTCCTACCTGAATGACGGATATGGTGCCCTAACGCTCATTCTTTGATCCATGACAAATAAAGCAGCCTAGAATTACAACAGAAGACTCCCATTAATCCTCTTTACGCTAGAAGAAAAGTCAATACCCCACTAAAGTTTCCTGCCTCGACCACGACGTGCCCGAGACTTTGCTTAAATAACTATCCGTTTTCGTTTTCACGAAAGAATGGCTGATTCATCAAGTCTTTCATGCCACTAATATACCCGCCGTATCTCAACTTACCCCCGTGATAATTCCGATAGCCTGGAAAAATTTATAAACAGTTTCTAGCCGCCTAAACCGACAAAAGTTTCCAGCATAAACAGCATCCGCCTTCCTTTTTCGATCTCTGTCTGACCAGATCTTTTATATAATGGACAAGATAGGTCATCGAGTGTTGCCGACCAAGCTCGTCATAAAGAAAGACTAACGTATGATTAAAGTGACAGTTCTGTGCTGCAAGATTGCTATTTTCGCTTTGAGCTACAGTAAGACAGTCGTAGCCAGCTCTTGACAACGCATATCCTGGCGAATCTTCAACAGTATCTAGAGCTCAAGGCTTACATATCATTTTGGGCACACTGAGATTTTGATACTTGCGTCCTTGTGGAAGTATCAGCCAATTCGAGCTCTCTTCGAACAAGCCTATCTGGTTTTTTGTTTCCTATGTCTCATTCCTGCCCCGTCATTTATCCAACCCTTACTGACAATTCTGCTTTAGCGGCCATCTCTTGAACTGTAGAGCCGTCAAGGCTGTGATACTGCTCCTCCTGAAATTGCGACTGTAATGTCGTACAATTGTCGAGCATTAAATGTATTGCGCTAAGTTCTTGGTCGCAGTTGTTAGTTGCAATTTCTTCAGGAGCAGCTATGGCTCTATGAACTCCCGTGTTCAATTGTTGTGCCTCTGCCACTAGCAGAAGTTGCAGGGGTCTATCGTGTTACGGTTTGACCGTTGTTTGAGCTTAGACGGATACCTAAGCCTGATATTGAGAATTCTTACGATGAGGCTGTATGAGGGGAAGATGAAGCTGAAGGAAACGGCACTACTAGACAAAAGGCTGAAGCGTTATTTTGACTTAATGGCACCTGGAAATACGTAGCTGGGTAAGAATTATCGTGCCTAAGGACAAGTCACTAGTCTGCACATTCACGAGGAAGATCAACTCTTATATATACCTGTTAGTAGTAACTTGAGTTCTCTTTTCTCTTCATATAGTTTATTAAACCAATTTATTCATCAACAACTCGGTTTCCGCCACACATCGTGCTCTATCAGCAGGTGCACTGGGATTTCTTGTGTAGGCGCTTAGAGAATCATATGGCTGAGGTTCCCGAGCGCGCGTTGTATACTTAGTAAATGGTGTGGTGGGCGTAAGAATGAAAAGGTATCACGTGGTGTCTCATGGCTCCTAACTACAACGGATCTTGTGTATAGCTTGAGACTAATACGTGAATTCTATATCCTTCAAATGTCGGATGTCTATGTGTCTATAAACATTGATTACTCCTTACTCCTCAACGCTAGTAGATCTACTGCTGTGGTCGCGGGCTGTGACCGCGGGCTCTGACAATGCGATTTGCTGTGCGTGAGGTCATAGGATAATTACGATTACGTGTGTGTGCCGTGTTTCCTACATCTAGCTAATTCGTGCCCTGTAGATCTATCCGGGATCCACATGGCTAGCTATCTAGCCGCTGATGGCTGGCTTTGGCCGTATTTTCCTTATTTGTCCAATCAGCTTATGACTCAGGCGGTGGCGGCAGGAGCTGGAAAGATGGCGATGGTTTTGCTTCCGGAAGGAGCCATAAAGACATTTCCATCCCATACTTGTGGATTCTGTCTGATCCAAGGCCTCTTCATGCGCGTATCTGCTGTTAGAGTCGCTGATATTCACACCCTGTTTTCTCTATGACCAAGTGGCACAGCTGGGGCCAGTTCCAGTATTCAGTCTTTATTCCCGTAGATATCTGCCGGTGACATGTCTATTACCATCAGTAGCCGCGCACACTCCAGCCATGGACGGGTAGGACCGGTGGGTATCACTACGCACAGGACAATCTTATTCGCACATCGAAAAGCCGCTATCGGTGCTTAAGACGCCTTTAATCTTCGCCAAATCTAATGAAGATATCAGAATCCCCAAATTGCGATGTAGTCCCGGTGCTCCTTGCCCCTTCCCTTCCTTTTCATCATTCTTATCGTAGGTTCCTACTTCGGTCGACGCTGAGAGCTATGAACAAGGGCCGAAGTTTGCTTTTGGTGTGGTCGCTATCCTGTGCAAAGGTCAACAATCTACACACGCATTTGGGTCTGAGAAAGATAGGGGAGTTTTTTGGTTATTTCCTTGAATTAAAACTTGTCAGGCGAATGGTGCCCTCCGTATTTCTTTGCTAGCTTCAGCAACATTAAGCTCGGGCCAGACCATTTCGACTACTACTCAGTACACAAACTCGTCCCAACTTAAAGGGTTGGCCACTTCAAACTTCACCAATGCCTTGAAAATGTCAAGTCCAATCGTCTAGAATACTCGATGTCGACGCGCCCGAGCCTCTGAAACCTTAAGCCCGTAAATTTTTCTCTTCTATTCAGATCCA